ATAACACAGCCTCACGTATCGCGGTAGCGGTTTATATGTATACATGTGTTAGATAAGTTGAGGTGGATTACACGAGTTCCAAACCGACCGGTCGTATATTACATCACTTGATAACGACCGGCGCGCATTAACGTCACTGCAGCCGCAGACGTCGCCGCCGCCGGCGCCGGATTCTTTCGTCCACTCGAGCGGGAGAATCACAGTCCGGAAGTAAATGGCTTGAACACACGCGCGTCGACAGCGGCTAGTCGCCGGACCAGAGGACGCTTTGAACCGGAATTGTTGATACGGCCCCCTCCTCTCACCCCCATCACCTCACCCAACGACGGAGACATTGCTGTAGCGACGATCGAACGCCGCTGCTCGCGTCTCGACAACAAATCGTAGCGTACGTGCCGGACTTCCGATACCGCGTGTTCCGGCCATCGCGGCCGCTGCTAGGTTTTAATAATTAATTGGTCGACGGCGTCCTGTTCCGCGAAACGCACCCGAACACGTCATTTGAGCTTCGTTCGTTTACGGAACGACAGTCATTAGTGCGAGGAAACGTGTTTGGCACGTCCAACCCCGTATTACCGCCGTTCAATGAGTTTTAAAAGATTTTTGCGCTTAATTGTTATTGCAGGATGTTGGTACCTATTATACGGGTACACGATTTACACGAAAAAATTGCTCCATTTAAAACCCTAACAAATAGGAACCCCGATAAAACTGTCATGTTGTTGTGTGGTTTTTCTTCAGCCTCAGTGCGTATAACGATAATTACATTTATATATTTCAATTTAAAGTGCACTTGTCTTCTTGCAATACCAAAGAAACTCTCGAATAACTTTAAATTTAGTAATCAAAATAATTTAACAAAATATGATATAGTTAATATTTTCGAATAAAAATCATCTTGGTCGAATATATCCGAAGTACTATATATGGGCAAACCGAAACCAATCGAATCCCAGTCCAGGAAAATATATTATTCACAATCTGTTTTCCATTCAATTTAATAATATATTTAATACAACACGTTTGCTCTTGATCGATTTATCTATTATTATTATTATGGTAAATAGGTTATAATAATAAAGTGTGGAGAAAAACTTGCCATATTTCGACAGCTCTTTCATTCATAAAGACAAATCACATTAATCCAAACATTCAACATTCAGTTATTCGTCGATTTAATCAGTCCGAGAAACCAACACAATACAACTATATAGTTTAGTCTTTATTGCTAACTACTAAGTATAAACGAAAACATTAACAGCTGTTTTAGGGGTTTTATTTATTTGGTTTTTTTTTTTTTTTTTTATAGCCAAGGGTATTACTTTTTTGTCCTCCTTTTTCTATTATCATTGGTAAGTTGTATATGAGCATTAGAATGGGCAAATTAATATTGGCGGTGTGAGAGTGAAAGGCGCCGGTTAGCCGGCCTGTCCCTGGGTGTTGGGGAATTTAATCCGCTTTTATATAAACGTAATAACGCTACCGTACCACCACTCATCATATCATCAAGAAGATCCTTTTTAACGAAAATTAATTAAAATCTGCTCACACGAGCCTGGTGTTAGATTTCACCAATGTGCTTGTGTGACCGTTAAGTGTTAAGTTATCCGTCGTCGGCCAGCTAAATTGGCATTTTGAATGCGTCCGTTTTGTTGTTGTTTTTCATTTATTTATTTCGAATAAACGACGGTATTTTTATCCACATAAACGGCCTCGAGGTATTCCAAAAATTTCACAGGGTATCCACCCTCCACTTTCATCTGGAGTGGAATGCCAGAGCGGATATTTTTCAATTTTGAAGTTCTATACGGCCAACGGAAAGGGACAAGCGAAAATTGGCCGCTACTACCGTCTTTGGCTCAGTGAAATACCAGTCGATAGTTTACTAAACGAGAATTCCAAGGGTGCTAAAAGACGTCATCGTTATTGAAAGGAATCTTTTCTTTTTTACTTTTATATTTCTAAAGCACATCAGTGTTTGATGAAATTATTTATAACACACTTTATAGTGTATTTTGGAAAATTCAAGACGTGAACATTTTTATTATATTCGTCCTCAAAATAAAAACATTAGATAATAATTAACATTAAATTATAACTATTATAAACCATAAAAAGTTTAAGAATTTATATCATTAATGTAAGCTAAACCGATTAGCTAAAAAAACAATTATGGAATTAAAAACCATATAAAACTATTATGTACTTTAATATTTTATTTTTTTTATATTTACTGAAAATATAATATATTTTACATTTAATTATTTCATACATATTATATATTAACAGTCTTAAGTTTTTTTTTAACTTAAATTTGAAAAATTCAAATCTAAATTCAAGCATATAAAAAAAAAAATTAAAAACCATATTATTATATACATTATAAATCATATCACACATTTAATAAAGAAATAATGATAATCGGTATCAATGAACATTTTCATAAATATGAAAAATTATTACTAAATATTAAATATTTTAAATTATTGGTAATTTTTTAAAATAGTATTGTATTTATTTTATCAATATAATCGAAAACGTACTCTTGTAATATTTCTAAATATTAAATAATGAATCAAAAGAAGGTTTTTCTTAAGTTAATCAACAAAAAATAAAATACTCAAAATGTATTAGAAAAATATGGCTTATTTTATTAGTCAATATATATATGTATATTTATTTAATTAATAATTGTTAATGATGAACACTATAACTTCATAGTTTCACTTTTACTATATGGTCTATACAAGAAATATTTATAATAAGCATATACCTATAGTATTTTTAAGAAACTAAGTAAATTAAATTTATATAGAGATTAATTTTAAAAATATAAGTTAATATATAAAATCAATACTGATTTAAATATGGTTATGAATTATAATATGATTACAATTAAATTTTTTTAAGTAAAATGTATAAATTAATTAATTTATTAATTGACAATTATATGAAACACGTTTGGGTGTGTATAGACTTCTTGATATTATAATCGATATATCATACAAAAATATACAATACTATCATTGTTATAGCTTACATATGTATTAACATTTTATGTTTAAACATAGTAAAATAAGCAGCAAACTTCACTTACACAATATTTACTAAGCGAAAATTAATAATTATAATCAACTAATCAGTTAAAAATTTATTACATAGTTACATAATTTAAATTAAATAAAATAAAATAAATCTTTACTAATTTTTAATTTTTTTAATTTTCTGATAAAGTGACATGATGCTAAAATAAAAAATTTACTTTGATCATATATTATAAAACTCACATTTTTACAAAATAGACTGTTAAAAGCTTCTTAGTTCTATTTTAGGAACCGTATGAAGCTTCATTTGAATTTACTTTATCATATTCAATCATACTATTTTAAGTTCAAATTTAATTCATCGTCATGTACTATTCTTCTTAAATTAAGTGAGCTGATACATTTCAAACATTCGCTATTTCACATTATTGTTTTACTTTTTTGTGACATAAATTTTTAAACACTCTGTATACATAAGCATATGCAAATTATTCTACGTAATAAATCAATCATATTGAAATAAAGCTTATATAAATAATATTTATTATGAATTTCATGAAATTAAAAACTATTATATCATAACTACCCTAAAACTAATTTCACTTGAATTCTCTTATTTTATCCCGTTTTTTCTATCTATTTTTAAAAAATTTCCATTTATGCAATGATATAACTTTAAAAATATGATAATGCGGCGTGTTTTCTCTCGATGTACATAAAATCAATGATGTTCGTCGTCACAAGACCGAGGGGTGTCTGTTTGCCGGCGCCAGTAAGCCTTGTCTGGGATAATGTGAAACTTCTCTTTTACCCCGTCACCCCATACAACTAACATCCTGATCGCAGTAAGACTGTATATGTAATAAATCTTTATATCAGTTTATCGGTAATTTAGATTCCTCTATTTGGTCAGTTTTTCAATTTATATGAATCTAAGATATATAGACAAAACGGAAAAACTACTACACGTGAAAGTTTAAAAAAAACTATTAGAAAATCAATTTGAACTATTCCTAATGAAAACATTAATGAAATATAATGTATTTAGTATAAAATACTAATTGTCATATATAAAAGATTGTTAGCAGTATGATTGAACAAAAATTGGATTTTAATGATAATTTTGATGATAACATCAAATTAAAATTTCCTAAATGTATAGCAGTGAAACATTACAGAGTTACACTGTATAGTTTAAATAATGATGATCTAATAATATTTATTTTAATATAATAATCATGTCAAATTTAAACACAAAATCAATATACCTATACTTATGAATTATAAAATGCTATAAAAAAATAAAGCACACTATTAAAATACTCCAAAGAGTCAAAAAAAAAAAAAAAAAACTAATACGTTATAACATTTTTATCATTTCAATAACTTTTTTGTTATATTTTTATAATTTTCTCATATACTGTAAAACTAGAACTTAATTTTCTAATACCTAATTGAATACTTTGAGAGTTTTGCTTTCTAAATTAATATATACATATGCGGGTAAAAAGTGTTATGGAAATTTCAACTATATTTTTTAACATGACATTGAATTTTATTTTATTATTAATAAAAAAGGTACGAGTAACTTCCATTTATAGAATACATAATTCTAAAATGTATTTTGACAATTTCTCCATAATTTGGCAGCTTACGTTCAATAGGTGCTTATATGTATGAATCACGTAACGGTTCGTAACGGCATAAAGTTTTTGGGTTTCGCTTGTTGAGCGTTGTACGTGATTTCCAAGTCAAAATAATGCTAACCCTCCCTACAGTCGGTTTAATGTCACGTATAATTAAACCGTCATCCAACCGAAACATAATTATATCTAAGACTTATCGTCCGTTAAACATTTTCTTACACCTCGAAAACTCAATTGCGATACTCTTTGAATCACAAAAAGGTGTTGGTAATTAACATTATACACAACAATTTTAAATAAATTAACTTACCGAATGTCGAGTCAATGACTGCCAGCAAAACTCAAGTTCACTTATTTTCGCTGGAACCGGTACTTCAAAATTCATTGCGTACGTATTTACTACTCCATCTCGCACGTAGAACAATTCAGAAGATAGCCCTGCGTAATAAAACAATTATATTATATTTTATTAATTTATTTTCGTTATACTAAAGGTAATTTATTTAATAAATTGTAATATAATATAATCAAAAATACACATTTGTTCATACATCTACGATTTAAAATAGCATGTATTAAATAAATTTAACTATTCATTCATGCACTAACACACATTTTATATATTAGCATAATCAACATTTATTTTTCAAATATACTATTAAATATTTTATCAGTTAATAGTTTATCGGTTAGTGTAAAAGTTAGTATATCTTTATAATAGTTATAATTAAGTTTGGATAAAAATGAATACATTTCAATATAATTATGTGTATGGTTCTTGTAAATTAACATTAATATCCATGTCGGTAACCAAAGGAAAAACTGGGCATTGGCTAAATAATAAGCCAATTTTTTTCTCTAAAATAATTTTATAAGTATATATTATATTATAATTAATAATTAATTTGTAATTTATTTTTTAGTAACACTACTCATAACAAGAAATATTCATTCATTATTATGAACAAATGCAAATTCCCAAGTTAATATTTGATAAAATGTACTAACAATTTATAAGTACGTATATAGTTATACACTCTACAAAAATTATTAGTAAGTTCTATGAATTTCAAGAAAGAAATTAGATAAGATGCAAATAATTTTAATATATTACTTTTTATTTTATATAGGAGATATTAACATAAAAAATTAGCAAATAAGAAAAATTTTAACTTTAAGCTTACCGATATATTAATGTGTTATTATGTTAAAATTAATATTGATTGATTTTATACAATAACATAGGTCTATATATTTTGTGCATATTTGTTTGGTTGCTAATATAGATAAATAGGTCATTAGATTAATAAAAAAATATAATAAAAAATTCAAAGGATTAATTTTGTAAATTTATAATTGTATAAAATATACAATAACTATTGGTCACATCCTTTACTAAATGGTCAATGTACTGCAATTGATTTATACAATAATATAAATTAATTTCATCATAACTGTTCCTGACAACAAAGTGTTGAGAACAGTTCTCTCAAAGTCGTTTATTATTTTCTCCATTGTTAGAAAATAAAATAATTCATATTTGGCCCATTTTTTGATAATTCCTATATATACATTACGTAAAATAGCTTACTTTATAGTTGTCAAAAATTGTATTTGTTTGAAAATATTTTAAGACGATACTAATAAAACTCAAATTGTTATACCTTATATCAATAGTCTTCAACCAGTAAGTCACGACCCAATTTTGAGTTGCGTAAGCTTTAAGATTAGGTCGCGAAAAGTCTTCTGTTTAAAATTTAAAAAAATCACATTCATATATGAGTATATTATATTCTGTATGTCATATGATATCAGATAGCAATTTTACTTATAATAAAAATTAAATATTACGTAAATACCTAGAAAAATATAAATTTAAATTTATTCAGCAATAAAAGTACTTCTACAATGGCATACGTTTAGCAATTTTAACTTTTATTTTTGCTTTTCATTGCTAATGATGTTTGTATGAGTCGCGAAAAATGTATGGTGAGAAAGGTGATGCGTGAGTTGAAAAAGTTGAAGACTACTGCCTTTATGGTACAACTACATATAATGATACCTACTGATATAAATGTGAAATTTTTAATTTCATTTTTTTATCGTAAAATTAGGTTAAATAATCTGTAATATTTTATTTTAATAAGTCAAAATGATAAAAAAATACTGTACTTATATTATCAATAATTATTTTATCTTAATTAAGCTTTAAATTTCAAACTTAATTGAAATTAATGAAAGTATAACTCAGGAAGAGTTTTTTTTTTTAAACGTCCAAAAGCCAAATTGATCGCATACATGTCATTAGTCTTTGTCACGTAATTTATTTAACAAAAATCAGTATAGTCAGTCCAGATGTATTTTAACCATTTGTTTTCAATAAGAAGAAAAAATTTGAATATACATGTTGACGATTGAAATAATAAATTGCAAAATGTTGTACGTGTATTTAAAAACCATCATATTTACCTATTCTTATTAATATTAAAAACATACAAACAAAATATTATACTATGACAGAAATTATTCTAAGCTGTCGAAACTTTTAACGTTAATAACTGTATAAATTGTTATAAATGAACTCTGTCTGTAGTTAAATTATATATATTTATAAAAAGGTGTAGGATCGAGAGTGAGGTGTAAACATTATTAACGAGCTGAGGGAGTATGGCTATTATTATTAAGACGTTTATAGGAGATTGCTCAATCCATCATGATGGTAACGTGTAGAGAAGTGAAATTGCTCGTTAGTGAAGGAAATGCTTTGAAAAAATATTTGGTTGAAAAAAATCAAGAAAAATATTTTTTAACAGTGATTATAGGAGTAAAAGAATTGTGTAATGAGGTTTATGGCAATAAAAAAAGCGTTATTAAAAATAAAAATTAAATATAAATTAAAAAGTAGAACAAAGAGATTGTCCCCTGCATACATTGTATACCATTCGAGATTTATATTCCTCAGGGCAATTTACAATTACAGTGGTTTACCAAATAAATGATATTTCCCGGGTCAGACTGGGCGGCGATGGGGCGATTTTTTCTCGTACTGACGTTTCTGTCGTGTTTTTAATGGCCTTTTGCGAACCCCTGTTTCTAATTGCTCAGCCGGCTGTTCTACCATGCACACCCCATCCACACTATCTCACTGAGGTTTTAACATTGCCAATACACATTTGAAATAACAATCATAAAGGGAAAAGGGAAAAAACGAATATATATGGGTATCCATGACTGCGTCATTTGCTTTAAAAATTATTACCGTTTAATACCCTTCTATTGTTTTCGATATTCTTTAAATTTTGGATATCAATTATAGTATGCGTTATGCTAACAAGTTTAATTCATAATCAATAAATCGACGAAAAACTTATATATTTTCATCAAAACTAACTGTAAAGCACATAGAAAATTTAGAATTTTTTGAGGTATTGTTAATGCATTTGTTTTTTACCAGTAAAATATATAACTTTTACACTTTATAACGTTTCAATAAATTACATTATAAAAAATACTATATTAAAGTGTATGGTATGCACTCTAGTGTTACAACAACATTTTAAACGAGAGAAAAAATAAATACCGTAGTCATACACCATGTTTTTATTTTTGTTTCGAGGGGTAACAGTAAGAATCGATACATAAATTACGTACAAGCATCAGTAGTTAAACGATAATCGTAAAAAATTGCCACCCTCCAATGACAACAGTAACAATGCTAGAACAATATTTCACTTAAAAGGGATGATCGAGAGCACATTAAAGCTGTCCTGCAGACGTCACGCTGTTTCTTTTATTCCACGCCCCTTGAACTAACAGACAAATACACACACAACCACACCAACACAATACAGACACAAACAAAAACACACGCACTAAAAAAATAAATTTATGATTTTTATCACTAAAATTGAATCATGTGACGAAATTCTGAGTGAAATTTCGTCCAACTTTATGAAGAGCTAAGAAAAAAACAATATTATTAGTTTAAAATTGTATAACTGTTTATGTTACCAGTAGCTGATTTTAATAATTAACTCAAACTTGAGCTTGGAAATTAATAAAAAAGTTTTAAATACAAGTAAAAATGATTTAAACAATATGCAAAATTAAATTAATAAATTAATAAATAGCAGATAGCGAAAAATTATTAAGCATTTAAAAATAATTGAACCTCATTTTTGTCTATTTTCGTTTTTATATTAAAAACTAAAGAAGAATTTCATAAAGCTAAGGGTCGTATTTTTTATGCTTATACACATTTAAACCCCATAAAAATATAATATACCATACATTAATATGCGTCAAAAAACATTAAATATGCAAAATAACCTAAACATATATGGCTTAGCAACATTATGAAACGAATTTGTATTGAGTCATAAAGGGGGGAATTCAATATTATCAGTAACAAACGTCATAATTTTCATATAACTTCGATAATTTGTATAATGTTCAATTGTCAAGATTATAATCTACAGTAAACTTTTTACAAGTATTATGATTTCAATTGGTTTTATTTTTTCAAATATAATCATTTATTATAATATATAGTAACAGGACGTATTTAAAAAAATTCGACCAATATTTCGTTTTAGTTTAAACTGGTATTCACTACTAATTTTTATAAATAAGAACTTTAACTTAATTTTTTAAATATTTATTGATGTGAAAACATTTTATACAGCATTCTGATTTTTCCGCCTGGACAGAGAAAATTTTTGAACGTTACCTTTTTCATGTAGGTACCTATTAAATTATTAAAAAGAGAGGCGATTTTTATGACAGTTATATCGGAAGTTCTACTAGACCGATTTGCATAGTTTCTTTTTTTTTTTTTTAACGTGAGTATTTTGTGCGCAGATGAACCATCTAAGGAGAAAAGTTCAAACATTTAATATTTGATTAAATGTTTGAAATAAAAAAAAAATAATAATAGTTATTAATTGTTATTGGAAATATTAAATTTTCCGTGTATACGATATCGGTTCGGTATCAACACTGCGGCACGACGCGACGGCATGAAACAGCGGCATGAACAGGGAAGTTTAAGCGGCCACATATTATTGTCTGGCCGTCGCCGGCCATTGTCATACCTCGAGCCTCACCCACCATTAGATAACCGCCCATCGCATGACTCAGCTAGACAAAGATAAAAAAGTGGCATAGAATCCGTTCTCTGTTTAAACAAATATAATTCTTAAATACTATCAATCCTGTCCTACAAACAATATGAAAGCAGGAATTTTAGATTAAAAATATTAACTTCAATTTCTACATAATGATTCTATATTTCTAAGCTCATATATATGTTTTTACATTATCTAAAGTCACCCGTAACAATATTTTATTTATTTATAATTATATATCTAATATTACAATATGAACATTTATCCACCTACAGATAGTGTTATATTATGCATAAGAACGCTACGATTATT